ACTCAGATTTTTCGCGTGATTTTGTTTCCAACTCTTATATAGAATTTAATTATATAACTAAATGATTTTCCAAACCAAAGGAATTTGATGGAACTCAATAAAACATAAATTTTATTAACGAAAATCGGATAACAGTAACGGAAAAAGGTTCGGGTTGTCACACAGTGGGAGGAAAATTGACCTTGAAGAGATTCAAGAGTCAAGCGGTGAAGGAACCTCAAACACTAGCAATCAACCTGAGGAGGAAACTCCAGTTGATCCAATTGACGAGTCCTTACCTCTGAGACGTTCCAATAGAGTTAGAAATACAGCTGAGTTTTATGGTTTCCATATTACTACTGAAGGTGATACATTTATCAGTGATAGCACACTGGTAAATTTGGATGAACCTAACAACTACAAGGAAGCCATGGCAGGCCCCGAGTCTGCAAAATGGAAAGAGGCTATGGACAGCGAGATTCAGTCCATGTATGACAATCAAGTTTGGAACTTGGTTGACAACGTACCGGGTCGTAAGACAGTCAGGTGCAAATGGATCTTCAAGAAGAAGACCGACATGGATGGGAAATTATACACATATAAGGCGCGACTGGTTGCGAAGGGCTTTACTCAAACTCCGGGAGTTGACTATGATGAGACCTTCTCACCAGTAGCAAAGATTAAATCTATAAGGGTTATGTTGGCCATAGCTACATTTCATGATTATGAAATATGGCAAATGGATGTCAAAACCACTTTCCTTAATGGAAAGTTGGCTGAAGATGTTTACATGAGTCAGCCAGAGGGTTTTGTCAATGCAAAGTACCCTAATAGAGTGTGTAAGCTTGAGAAATCCATTTATGGATTGAAACATGCATCTCGTAGATGGAATCTTTGTTTTGATGAGAAAGTCAAAGAGTTTGGATTTTCGAGAAGCGCGGATGAGTCCTGTGTATATGTCAAAGCTAGTGGGAGTATAGTGAGCTTTCTGGTATTGTATGTAGATGACATACTGCTCATAGGAAACGACATTCCAACCTTGCAGGAGGTCAAATCTTGGCTTGGGAAGTGTTTCGCTATGAAGGATCTCGGAGAAGCTGCCTATATCCTAGGGATAAGGATATTGAGAGACAGGAGTAAAAGGCTAATAGGACTTAGTCAAAGTACCTACTTGGACAAGGTGTTGAAATGTTTCAGCATGGAGAACTCCAAGAAAGGTGATTTACCTATCCAAGGCAATGCCAAACTGAGTAAGACTCAGAGTCCGAGTACAGATGCTGAGATAGCATAAATGAGTCATATACCATATGCTTCCGCAGTTGGTTCTATCATGTATGCTATGACTTGTACTCACCCTGATGTGGCCTTTACTCTGAGCATGGTCAACAGATATCAAGGGAATCCTGGTAAAGCTCATTGGACTGCAGTTAAGAACATTCTTATGTACATGATGAGGACTAAGGATTGGATCCTTACCCTCGGTGGGAGTGATGACTTGAGAGTAACAGGGTATAGCGACGCCAGCTTTCAAACCGACAGAGATAATTTCCGCTCTCAGTCAGGCTGGGTGTTTACCCTGAATGGAGGAGCAGTGACATGGAAAAGTTCCAAGCAGGAGACTGTAGTTGATTCAACGTGCGAATCAGAGTACATAGCAGCAAGCGAAGCATCGAAGGAGGCAATATGGTTGAAAAACTTCATTAGAGACCTTGGAGTCATTCCATCCATAAAGGAGCCTATGGAGATTTTCTGCGATAATGAAGGTGCAGTTGCCTTAACCAAGGAACCGAGAGATCATGGTAAATCCTGACATATCGACAGAAAATACCACTTCATAAGACATCAAGTAGAAGAAGGGCACCTCGTGGTAAAGGGGATATCGTCAGAGGACAACCCAGCAGATACTCTTACAAATGGGCTGACTAGGGTTAAGCACTTGCAGCATGCGAGGAGCATTGGGCTAAAGGACGATATTAGTTTTAGTAATTAGATAAATCGAAACTTGTAATAGCTAAATTGTAATTGACATTTGATGATTGAATAAAAGGAGTTTTATTTATAAGTAAAGTTAGTGTCTTGTGTCAATTATTTACTATTGTTTCACTTTGCATGTTTTGACTTCCAGAATAATAAAATTATGATTATTATTATTATTCAAGCCATCCACAGTCGATCATACGTTGAAAGTAAGTATGAAATAAGACTGTCATGAGTTGGCTTGTAGATTGTCTAAGGAGTTAGACATAGCAAAAGTGTGTTACACCATTCGTGAGTGCTCCTGAAATAAGATTTGAGTATTGAATTCAACCCGCGCTCACCTGAATTACTTCATGGAATTTATGACAAGTAATTGTGAGACGATAATATCATATAATCTTTAAACCAAGATATATGAGTTGTTGACTACGAGTTGGTTATGCATTGATGGCATGAAAATGCATCAGTAACTTGATGTTATAAAACGTGTCGTTGTGCATGATTTGATGAGTAGTTAGTACAAGCATATAATGTCGAAGTTTATCTGATCCTTTTATCCTAAGAGAATTAAAAGCGATATCTTGGGCCCCTCGATGATCTTGTTTTGACTTATGTGCCAGGCCCGGTCAGAACTAAATTGATGTGTTCAGTTATGTTCTATGTCAGACGAATCATAAATCGGGAAACGAATTGCAGGACAATAAGTACGACTATGTTCCATGTGTTTGTCTGCATAGATATCTTGAGAACAGAGGAGTATATGATCACTTATCTGAAGGACGCGTCACTGACTAGGTCAGAGTTCGACAGCGGCTTTTGAAAGCTTATGATTGCTAAGTCAGATCTTGAAGTACATTAGCAGTAATAGTTATTAGACTTATCCAAGTGGGAGACTGTTGGATTTGGTGTCTAAGCCCATAACTATAATTGGTATGTACTTGACCCGATTGTAGCATGGTCCTTTTGGGTTGCCTTCACCAGTGCAATTTGATAGGATGAATTTTGAGAATAAGGTTATTTATGGTTTATTAATATATTACAAGTATAATATATTAATACGGAATTATTTAATTAGTATTGATCAAGAATTAATTTATTAATTTTGTGATCAAAATCGACTAATTAAATATTTGGGGATTGATTATGCAAATCAATCATTCTTGTAGTGTGGGCTAATGATCCATGATTATGGGCTAAACTAATCCATGGATAGTCCATGGAGGTTAAACCCATGGAGCATGAGAATGTGGAAAGTCATGGGTTATTAGGGTTTACCAAGTGTAACCCTATCATGTCCAACACTATAAATAGAACCCTCCATAGACCAAAATCGGTTGCACCTTCTCATTAAGACAAATAGATTATTCTCTTAAACCATCCTCTTGCATATTGGTGTTTATGAACCATTAGAGGCATCACACTTGAGGTGCTCAAGCTTTCAAAGGTCAATAACTAGAAGTCCTTCAAAAGGTATGGCATCTATCTAGATGTTTTATTCAATTGGCAATTTGTATGCTAGTTAGGACAATGCTTTGGAAAAAATTGAAAATATGCATGTATAATAGAGAAAACATAGATACAAAGCATTTAGGGTTGCATGTGCACCATAGGAGTGTTATAGTGCTCAAAACCCAATAGTTTTCCCCACTGGGTTTAGCGGGTCGAAGGCACCAATGCCGGCCCATGTTTATGTTATGTTAGTATGCTAGCTGTCTGCGTGACTCTTGCATGTGTTATGTGTTTATATGATTATCGGGTTAGGGCCCAATGACCATTTGTATGCTATGTATCTTTGTGATTATTGCATGTGTATGTGATTAATTGATATATGTTATATGTATGTTAGGCGGGGCCCGATTTATTACCGAGCGGGGCCCGATGTCGGGCGGGCCCATTATATATTTATTGTATTTATGATATGTGGTATTTTGGGGAACTCACTAAGCTTTGTGTTTACAACTTTTAGTTTATGTTTCAGGTAGTTCTGGTTCCAATGGGAAGAGCTCGAATTGACTGCATCACACACCATATGGATTCTGTTTATGGGAAATACTTTGATTTTGATGATGTTTGACATATTTATTCGATTGGGATGTATGAAGAATGTTTTGGAATACTGTTCTTAATTAAATCAAAAATAAAAATTTTAGGTCATTGTACAAAGTAAGAAATATGTTACCCTATTAAGTCATTTTTTCCGTCTTACCTAAAATAGTTGGTATAAAGATTAAATATGTACAATTTAACAAGTTGAAGGGGTAATATGTACCAACAAAAAAAACCAGTGACCACATATATACAAATCGAAAAATATATCACTCTTTTAAATCATTATATCTTACTAAGTTATAATCCGTGGAAACCACGGTCGGTATATCTAAAATTTTTATATAGATAAAAAATAATAAATGTAAAAAAAAACCAAGATGTTGTCGATTGTAAGTATTTATGAATTAATTTGTTAAGCAAAATAAACATAATAATGTTATTAGGATATGATTTTGTATTTTCAAATTTTGAATTGAATTTGATTTGTTACAAAAAAAAGGAAATAATAAAAATCATACAAAATGTCACGTGTCAAAGAAACATTCTAAAAAACTAACATGTGTCATTTTTAGGTTTCATTTATCAGCGGAGGTAGATTATACATGTATTGTTAGCCTAATTCTTTAAGGCCATTTGTATTCGGACCCTTTACTCTTTTAAATAATTATATCTTATTATACATGTATTGTTATTTGTTACCCTTGATTAATTAAGGACATTTGTATTCGGACCCTTTTCGTATGTGATCTGTATATATATCTTTATGATGAATGAAATGAGTTTTCTTTAAGATATTCCGATTTCAATTAAAACATTATTATGGTTCTTTATCTAGGTTCCTTATTTTAGACTTCGGGTACTTCAGGTATCCTATTGAGTTCTGAAATTAGTAGAGAAAAAAGAAAATTCACCAACGATTTTACCATATCAATATAATAACATTTAATTAGATTATTTACCAATTTAACCTTCAACAAAACCAATATTTTGTAATCCTAATAAACCTCCAATCCATACAAAACGCCGGCATACTTTTCCGTCCTAACGTCGACGAAATATGCGTCTCTCATCTTTTGAAACGCGTGCCACGTCAACAAACTATCTGAACCGGCCTGATGACACTTTCCGACAACCCGGTTCACTTTCAAAATATTCGCCACCCGGTCCAACCCACCATACAAGTTTTTCCGGCAGAACTTCATCAAATGTTTCACGTCGTACACGTTCTCGCCGAAGAACACCTTCAAAATCTCCAAAAACTCATCTAATCCACGCGGCAACTCCCGGCGCGTGAGAATCTTCAATAAATAACCAAAATCGTACGCGCTATGAAACGTCACCCAACTCACCGAGTCATTACAAACCAGTCCCGACGACATCATCAACTCAGCAAATCTGACCGAGTCGATACCTTCCGAACTATTCCGTTCGAAATCAATCCCTTGTCGTTTCAACAAATCAATCGATTCCGGCGCGTACTGGTCACACGCCAAGTCAAAATCGCTAAAATTAAACTGCCAGATGAAACGCCGGTGAGTCTCGCCGTCACACGGAAGGTTTCCAGCGGCGTCGGTGAGTGTGAGACCGAGTTGAATCAGGTTCAAAACATCGACGTTTGATTTAAGAAGCTTGTAATGATCCGACGGCTGTCGATGCGTATACGGTTTTGCCGGATCTACAGATCGACGGTAGACAACTCCGGGAAACTCCGTGTCCATGGAGATGTAAGAGTACTGATCTATCACGGATCTGAGGAATTCGAACTCGGATTCCAGATTTTCGGACCAAACTTCACGGATCGTGATGGTTTCGTCAATATCAACAGACATAGCGATCGATTAGTCGATTGATCACTTTGATGTTTGTAAATTCGTTGATTGCTGATTGTGGTTGTAAGATTGAGTTGAGTGAAAGTGTGTGAGTTGAAATTTATATATAAGATGAATTGAATCCGGCAGAATAATAGTTGAGATGTGCTTTGAAGGAAGGAACTTACTAAAGGGAAGTCGTATAGCCCACTGGTTCAACGCATTTGAACTTTGAACGTTTGACAAAAACCGGGAATTTGACCAAATTATTCAATCAATTTGGCAAATTGACACGAGGTCGAATACAATTTTTGCTGTTATTTCAATACAAAAGTCGTGAAAGACAAAGAGAGGTAATGGGGTTCATAGTTCATACGTATTTATAAATTATCTTAAAGCTAATTTATACGTATTCTAGATGCATGATGCATCTAATAAGTCGCTTATAAAAAGCTTTTGTTTATCATATACCATAATATAATATATACTTGTCTTTTTTGGTATTTACATGTAAATCAAAGATTATTATGTTTTTTCTTATAAGATTCTTACAAAATTTTATATTCTAGATGCATGATGCATCTAATAAGTCGCTTGTAAAAAAGTTTTTTTTATCATATACTGTAATATATACTTTCCTTTTTTCGGTATATACATGTATATCAAAGATTATCGTATTTTCTTACAAGATTCTTACATTTTTTTTTTATAGTTATTGGGTTTTTAAAGAAGGTTGTAGTTTTAAAGAAGATTTATTCACAAAAAGTACTATATAATGTTAGATATATATCTTTACGTTACCATTTTTTACTAAAGAATAGAAAACGGCCATCAAATCCTCGAAAAAAGCTCATCCACCTAGCGGATTGACTTTTTATGACAATATGAAATCGATAAGCATACACACATAGATCTAGTCTTGTGCGTGAAGTTTATATATTCCATATTCACATGTGCTATAGACTTGTGTGATTTAATGGTTTCACAAGATATTAAACATGTTTTCTTCTGCATGCAACCATTACAGAATTCAATGACCTCACTAAAGACTCATGGTCTTCCTAACTACTAGTATTAGGCAACTAATTAACCTCTATTTAAGTTTCAATGGATGTTGTATTCAACTGGTTAATATTGAGGAAATATGGTTCGTAATAAGAAATACACTAATGAGGGTATACGTGGACTATCTACCTTTCGTGTTCATACGTCTTCTTCGAGTGATGATTCTACTACATCGACAAGAATAATAGTTGCCCATATATTGTTCTATCAATCAACTATGTCGCTTAAACTTATGTGTCCAACTACACGGCCATGTTGTCAAACCACATGGTCCTACGGTCAAAGAACACGTTCTAGCTCCCCCAATAGTCAGTATATCGAATCACAACACAAGCTATTCCATATCATCTTGTCAGATATCTTAATGTAATTTTAATTAATATTATCGTTATAAGTTTGAATATTGTTTTGGGTATCGTTTATAACAATATTCTTGCTTATATTTGGGGAGGTAAGTGGTGATAGGAGCTTGATAATTCTAGGATTTTTATTGAGTGGTCGGTACGACTGCTAATTGAAAATGATAATATTATAATTGGTAGTACGATGATGATGTGGAATAAGCATGTCCTCATTAAGGTGAATATTTTTGTATGGATAGTCGCTTTATGAGGTTAAATTTGGGAAAAAGAGATACCGGTCTAAACTCTTATGTTTGGTTGTTCTAATAGGGTGGAGAAAGCATATCATCTTTTTTCTCTTGTAATTTGGCGATGCAATTATGGTTAGAGGTTAGTGGCTGGTTGAAGATTGTTTTACCTTAGACATTGGCGATATGTTTGTATGGTTGAGTACTTCTTTTTTGGAGCTTGATGAAACTAACCATGGAAGCCAAGTTCTTGACAATGTTGTGGATTATTCTTTGGGGTATAGGAACATGCTTATCTTTCGATCAAAGAAATATAATAAGGTGGTCATGTTTGATAATGTCGTGGATTTTTCGTTTAATTGATATAGCTATAAAAATATAAAGAATTGTCATAATCATGACACATTGTTTAAAAATCTAATCATGAAATTTGTTGTTTTTTTTTTCTTTTTCTAGTTTCTTGCTATCCTTTTATTAAAATTTGAAGCCACTAAAAACATGATTATCAATTGGAACTAAGCGATTCTTCTAAATTTCAATTTCAATATCCTTTACATGAAGAAGATGATATATATATATATATATATATATATATATATATATATATATATATATATATATATATATATATATATATATATATATATCTATATATATATATATATATAGAGGTAGGTTCAAATGTGGATGACTAATTATTGTGTGGTCGTAGGGACCAATAAGAATTCAGAATAAAAATAATCATTAATAAAATTAATAGGGATAATTTGGTAATTTCATTTAAAAAAAAAAAGATAACTTCCACAAATACTCTCCTACAATTATGGTAACTACATTGACTTAACCTAACCTAGTTTTCTCCCCTCTTTAAAAAAGAAACGATGTTCTTCTTCTTCCTCACACAACAACCGATCCTTCTTCATCTATCTCCATCGTCGGCCACCTTCTAAACCGTAGATGATGCCGCTGATTCCTTCATCCAATACTAGCGACACCTACGTCCTAAAGCGTCCTCTGTCAACGTCGCACACCTACAGCCCCCCGTCGATTGACTCCTTCCTTACGCCTACTCCTCTCCTGTTCTAATTAATTTCACAGATTTCGGAATTGCAATGTCAAGATGTAAATTCGTTTCATAAAGGTAATCTCTCATTCAAATAAATTTCTAATTGCATGTTTAAGTTTCTTATTTCTTTTTATGAATTGTCTAATAGCAGAACAATCTTGGTTATTCTTTTTCTATTATTCTATTCTTCCATTCGTCTACATCTTCACATAATTCCGAGTTTGTTGTCTTCAATTTTTTCTTAAATGTACCAGTTAAGTCTATTCTTATATGAGTACACCTAATTCTTGTGCATAGCAATTTCTATAGAATTGATGTTTTTATGTGGATTCATTTGTGTGTACATATACACAATGGTGTTTCTAACTGTGTTAGAAGGCAATGAATGAACCACATCCGTTCTTGAAAATAGAGTGATGTTTTCTAAAAAGGTCATAACCTACATAGCTTTTAGTAACTGCGAAGTTTAAAGCTGTCAAGTTTTTCTTAATTCAGCCATAAAACTTAATTTCTAAACCATATGTTTTCTTGTTGGCTATTGCAAGTAGCTAATGTTTTATCATGATTTTTTGTTCATGTTTTTCACAGGTTTCAAGATTTACCAAGGGATCACATGTCATTCTTGAGTTCATCTCTTTCTACAACTAGGAATTCTGCTAGAATGTCATTCTGCAAGAATGATATTCTACTAGAATGTCATCAGACAACTAGGAACGAACGAAGAAGGGGAATAAGGATTGTTTCAAGAGTGACGATATTTTTTTTTTGCAAAAGAATTCAAGAATGACATAGTATTACTTCAAAAATAAAGCTTTGTATTTGTGCTTGATTGCATACCTAGAGGAAACGTACCAAGAAGGAAAAAAAATTCATTCAAGAATGTCAAAAAAAAAAATTAGATTTTTATTATTTTGATGTATTTCACTTTCTAATTGTATTTTAAGTTCATTATCACAAAAGTGTAATTACATTATGAAAGAATATCGTTATATTAACATTTTACCATTGGAATGATATGTTATTGTTCTCATTCTAAGAGAATGATTCAAAATTCTATATTATTTTATTCTTGATATTCTCATAGAATATCATTCTAACGGAATATAATTCTGACATAATAAAACCGGTTATGATTAAAAATTACATTAGAATTGAAACTAGATTAATTTTAAAAAAAATCAGATTTTTAAAATTTGGAGAATCAATAATCCCTAAAAATCCGAAAATTTCCATTTTTAAATATCGTTTAATTGACTTAAATACCATTTCAATGAAATTTGAGTGATTATAGGGTACATGTTATCCATTGTAACATCATAGACCCTCGCATCATAGCCACTCATTATTTTCATCTATTGGTCCAGAATTATCCTTACGACCACACAATAGATGTAATCCACATTATAACCTAGCCCTATATATATATATATATATATATATATATATATATATATATATATATATATATATATTGTGAGTCTTTGACGGAAATTAATAACCTCGTGATTGGCTTGTTTTTGTATCGGTTTCATTTTGTGAGACAAACAAATTCGCAAGGCGTGCAAGCTTTTTTCACGGACTTGGTGTTCGTTTTATTTTATGTGAAAAAAGCATTCATCAAGATATATAACTTCAATATACAATCAATGAATCATTAGAGAATCCTTTTCAATAATGTTTTAAAAATCGGTTTGAATAGGTTGATCGAACCGGTTAAAACGAGAACCGATGAATAGATTTGTTCAACTAGCATCGATCTTATGCATATTTTTGGACCAGAACAAACAAGATGGATTTTACAAAAAACCGATAAAATATAATTGTTAAAACCTGTATTGAACCAATGTAATTGTACTTGATGGTCTTTTCGTATCTATTTAAACTTTGATCAGTGTGTACATCATCAATGTGTACATCTTTTTTTTATAACCAGTTCAGATCCATTCGTTGCAATTCCAGAAAGTGAATATGAGATAATCATATAATATTTAACGTTATTTCTAATGTTCATATTGGCCAACTTTACATACCTTCAAATGAAAAAGAGCTCATTTATATTAGATATTTGATATGTTTTTCTGTATAGCTTATGTGGTGCGGTTTTGTTACTAAAAAACTATACATGTTATAGAGCTTTTTTATTAGATTTTTGTTACTAAAATATGTAATTCAATTTGGTACTAAATTATGTAAATTCTGGAAATTTGGAACCAATCATCAGAGTGACTCAACTAAAAAAAGAATTTTAAAACATGGCTTTACAATAAGGGGTTTGACTCTTCCACGGAACATTTTTATTCT